GGGTTTTACTGTGGACCCAATGGACCTTATATTATCTTGATTTGTTTTCCAAAAGTCTCAGTACATTCCATAACCTCCCATAAACAATATTAGCAAAAGCGATTTTGCAAGGAAGCTTCTGAAAATTTTAATTAACTCCTGAATGAAAACGATATCGATGATGCTATTGTATAATCCTTGACAAAGAAAAAAATATACCACTTGTTATCTAATATGAAACGAATTTTCCTTGAAATGATAAAATGCGTGTTGAAAAAGTTTGTTTTCTTGTTAAAAATTTTCGAAACTATAAACAAGTTGAACGGTAACCAGGATGCAAAGAAATACTTCAAATTGTTTTGTAATGCCAGAAGTAGCATTACCTCGGTGTATCATAGAGAGTCTAACCCATTACACAAAGCTTAAACGCAATCAAAAGCTTACCTTAAGGCAAGATAAGTGTATTATGAAATGTCGCAATACTATTTGAAATGTTGGTCACAGTGAAATGCGAAAGACATAGAGCGCGCCTAAGAAGCAAAATAGATTCATTTGCAATAATCAGCTTTGATCAACTATCCCTTTTGTCAGAATGCTTTTCCTGAGTTTATTTATACTATTGTTCAGTAGCATTTGCCAAAGAAGAACTTAATGTTTTTGCAAATCTCTTCAAGCTATTAAAGGGAAGTATCGTGTGAAATATCTGTTTACGAAGAGGTAAACAAGGAACCTCAAGCTGCGAAACTCGTGTAAGCAATTTCGCAAAGTGAAGTCACTGATATTAACCAATAGCTCAAACTTTTAATTTTTGACAAGAGTGCAAATCTTCATTTCAACACTCTAGAAACAAACATGACAAACTATAGTAGCGCGATAAATTGTAGCAGCATTTACCAAGATGCTTGAAAATATGCCGAAAGAAGAGCAAACGATCTACCCGATGCTTTTGGAAATCTCGCGAATCAAGTTTAGTTGCTAGAGATTTTAAGCGTTCATCCTTTCCAACATTCTTTTAAACTTTAAAGATGTAGAGATTTTGATGATACTCAAAAATGCCTTTGTTGAGGGGAGAGACAGAAAAATCTTCAATTCGTATGATTTATGAATAAATGACAAGCCTTTATCTCTTGTTTTATTTCAGATCTAATTTCGCTATGTTCAAATAAAGGAACAATTAAAAAAATCTCATTATTTTTTGTCCAAAAATCTAAATTCCTATCTACGCCATTTCCGTTCTCTTCCTGTTTGTGAATAAGGCTTTTTTCAGACATAAAAAAGTATCCTCGAAAATTTTCTAGTGAGACCCAAACATGATAGTCTAGCTATTTGTTGCTAAGGAGAAGATTTTTTGATTTCATGACTGATACAAGGATCCCCTCTGCAGTAAACCTCACGTGCAATTAGGCTAATCTCGTACCACATTTTAGAAGGTGCATGCAATTCTTAATTGAAATGCGATTGATACACAGGTTCACGGGTATCATAACTCTTTGTGGCTATTGATGTTAAAGTTCCGAAACGAATCTTGTCGTGTAATAGGCACGCAATCAAAGGACTCAAGCTGATCCTGTGATAGCATCTACACGGAAGCATTTGAAATTGAAAGGGGGAAATAAGCAATAGCAACTGGAAGGTATTAAACTTAGATACGTGAATACCTCTTGTAGCATTGTTTAAAGGCAAATGCATAAGAGGAAATTTCGTTTTAATCAAGGTTACCCTGACACAACAAAACTTCAACGTCATAAGACTTAAATTGCTTTGAAAGATCCATAATTAGTAATTCACCACAAGCAAAGCCCACAGATACAGTGCAAGAAAGATAAGACCTTACAAAAACGTTCTAACTTTAAAAAAGTCCAAGAGCCTTCACATAGAGGAAAGAAAGCAAAATTTTTAAAAAAAATTAAAGAATGACGCTTAAAAAGGAGATTGACAAGTTACAAGGAGATTGACAAAGTCAAACACAAGATTCCTTTACGACCAGTTTTAACTGTGCTATAACTTATAAGCCACATACAATTCAGCTATAGATAGTCCATCTGACATCTAAAAAAATTGCAACTCGATAATAAGAAGTGACGTTATGAAAGATCTCATAAACTCTATATTTGACCCATGTTCCTTCATTGTTAATACTTTCTTTCACTAACTGCGCTGCAACGATATCTTTACAGATTGCTCATGACAATATCAGTTACTTAAGCCTACAGCGCTAAATGATAGCACATTTCTGTATTATCCAATGGTTACTGATCTTTTGCTTTGTCATCAAGACGAAAAAATTTCATAGCACATTGTACTGGTGTATGCGCTGATTTTCAATACACTTGCCATATTTAGAGGCAACGCGCACTAAAATATTGTGTTATCAACATTACATTATGAGATTAGCTATCGTTTCTATTGAAAAGATTCAAAAACATGATTGATATGGGTTATAAGATAATTTCTGATTTAATATGCAACTCATACATATTTAAAATTTGAAAGGCTAGCAGAGAAGGATAGTATCTTTCTGTTAAAATATTGCTGCTCTCAGAAACCTAGCTATATAGCATATGGAAATTCTTTGGCAAATATCTGTATTTGATAAATATGTTCTTTAATGGCATTGTAAATTACTAATTAAATATAGCAAATCTTTCAATTCTCCTTTCTCTTGTATATTTTATGAAAACAGCAAAAAAGATATCTTAAATGAAAGATAGGCAAACCAGAAAAGGGCCTCAGCATTTTATTTTTCTTGCCAACGGGACTTCCGATATTAAGAGAAAACTGATAAGGTCCAACTTTAGCGGGCAAACATTGCTTTAAAGGTAAAGAACCAATGATTTACAAATACACTGCTGGCCCTCGTAACTACTGCATATTGTCATCTAATTTGTATCGATTAAGTAAAGATGAAACACTTTTAGGCTGATCATTTCATTCAATCACGGGGAACTTAGAAGTGGTAGCTTTTGTCATTCAAATCAACACAAATTTATAATTAACAGTTTCATTTTTTGCAACTGTTATCTCCAAGGGAATGACAAGAAATTATATACAATATTTGCTGGCAAGATTTAATAATTTGAAACTTTTGGAAAAGAAGGTCTGGTATTTGAAGAATTTTTGAAAACATGATCAATTTTATCCTTGTTTTGGAAATACAGTATCTAATTGCTGCAGAGCTCATTATTAATCAAAATTTCCTAAGAGATTGTCTTGTTTTTAGTAATGCACAAAAAGAACGTTCTCTTCTTAGTTTTGACATAATTTCCTTACAGCAGAGGAGATCCTCTAATTTAGATATTTTCTAAAGAAACAAAGTGAACACAAAGAAATTTATCATCTTCGCTGGTGACAATTTTTTCAGGCTTAAAGAAACATTTTGAAATGTTTCATAAGCAAAGGCAAGAGTGTTTCTTCAATGTATACACTACTCAATCCGTTTTAATAAACAAAGGAAAAAATCGTGAATTTGCGGTAAGGACAGGATTTAAAAGTTTTCATTATGTCCACGCTAACAGTACATTGAACACTACCTAACAATAAATAACAAGGCCACAAATTAAGGTCTTCATTCTTTGATGCATTGCAAATGAACTTTACTTTGACTTTGGTTTAGTCCTGATATTCAAAAATTCCAAAACACAGTAAAGCCAGATTCTCCTTGTCAATTCATTTTAGCCTACTCATCAGGGGTCACTCACAACAAATTTGCTATTCTAATCGTGTTAAAGCTACCGTGATATTCTCTAGCTCACTCCATCGTATACAACATGCGCCTTTGAAAAACAGGAACCTGTTGCTAATCTCGCCTTAGTTCCTGCCACAAACGTCTTTCATTAAATTTCTTTATTTCATAATTCTCGGGTCTCGTGCTCGGTTTTTCACCGCAATTGATTTTATTTACTTCAGAATACAAAACTGTCTTTGTAAGAAGATACAAAAACAGCCAAGTCTGCGAAAAACGTCGAGGTTATTTCTTGTAAATTTGGACCGAGTAATTAAACAATTGCATTAGACTTCGCTAAAGATGAAGTTACGAGACATCATGTAGAAACTTGCTAATGACTCGCAAAATTGTCTCTCTTTGATTATGGCTTACATTATCACATTTCATATTCTTTTTTTAGGGCAAGTTTATATTATAAGCCCAGGCAAACTGAAATTCAACATTGCCATTCCTGAGTTATGCAGTCTTAATATTCAGTGAAAAGTTATGTTGAGTCACGTTATTAGGTGGTTCGAAGATCTTGAAAATTGAGCAGAGAGCTCTTGAAAGGCAGTATAAAGTCGAAGAAACTGGGAATTGTCTAAAGTCTACGTTAAAGAGGCGGTTGTAGTATTATTGCAGCATTATTATCATTATTATTATTATTATTATTATTATTATTATTATTATTATTATTATTATTAGACCCTCCAAGATGAGAAAGGAGCAAGGCAGGCAACAACATGGTGCGTTCTAGTGTATCCCGCAAATGAGAGGTTCGGGACTAATGTGAATTGGCGTTTGATCATTGTTCTATTTTTATACTAAAACTTTCATTAAATTTCAAGGAAAAGCAAATCTTGTTGACTTCAGAGAGGAAGAAACGATTAATAGAGAAGGTTTTGAATGATGCGAAATCTTTTTACTGTTAAGTTGTTATTAATAAGAGTTCCCAAGATCTTTGATGCGGCAGCTCCCAAAATCATTCTCGCGTCGAATAAGGTAAGAGAATAAAGCAGGTTGTACTTTTAATTCCATTAAACTCAGACTGTCCATGTTGCTTTTCTTTGAGTTGTCGTGTTAAAAGTCCTATCCATTTTCAGTTTTCCTAAGTTCGAGTTTTCTTGAACTCTGTTCAATGAAGTCTGTAAGGTCATAGACGTAAAACAGCAGAGAAAGAAATGTGTTTATACTGACTTGTGCTCTCTTGTTGTACTGAAAATCATAAAACTTGCTTAGCCCTGAGATTTTTGACTGAAAACAAAGCGCAGCCAAGTTTGCATTTCACAATTTTGGGAAATATGGAAAATTGACTCACCTGGTGCAAGTGGATTAAATCCAGTTGGCTGCAACGAAGGAGGGTGTAACTCTGCGAAAGGCATGCTGGACCGGAAGCCATCCATCGGGCCCAGTTCTCCAAATCGTGTAGGAAATCCGAAATGATCGAAACCGGGTTGGTCGCGGTCATCTGCTCGAGCTCTGTGTCCTGTGCAGAGAACAGACAGAAGGTTACAATATAGAAACGAGTTAAACTTAATGACTCTGAAACCGCACACACCGAGTAGATCATAAAAAAAGCCTTTTTAAAGTTCATCTAGCATTCAAAATTTTCCTATATAACGAGAAAAATCACCATAGCTGTTGACTAACTGCTTTTTACTGACTTCTAACAAACAATACATTTTTAGTTCTCGACAATCTCTTTCGCTGTCATAAACTAATTAGTATCACAAAATGCAATCCCACTAAAATTATAGCAATGTCCCTTAGGCATTTCTGTTAGACAAGCAGAACATTACAGGCCGGTATCAACAACATGGTTGTATCGCCGGTCAGTGCGGTGATATAAGAGCAACGAGTTTAAATTTGTAGAGTTTAAACGAGCTTTACTTGTTCTACTCGGTACCTAATCTGCAAGTTACTAGGAGGAGATGGAATCTGCGAATTCCTGTTCTCTTAATTTCAAGTCATTTCAACTCAAAGCTATGTGCTTTTGGATAATCCAGGCTGAGACGGTAAATAGCCTAATGTCTTTCATTCACATTGGCAAGGAAAGACCCCTCGTCGAGGGTTAAGCATACATGGAGTCATGTAAGATCCGAAGCCGTGAGAACTCTATTGCCTTGCAAAAACTCATTCTTCGGGTAACATCTTGATATATAGCTTAAATTTATAGCTGACAGTTGTCCTGATTCTCTGAAAGTTACGCCAAGATTTCATTCATTAATGTACATTTCAATGGCCTTTAAGCATGATACAATACAACTATGCACATTTAAAACATAATTAATAGATATGCAAGAGACAAAATCAAACTTCAAGCTATGTTTAAGCGCCATCAAGTAAAGCCCAAAGCTGTTTCTTTAGTGTTTCTATAGAAGCAATTGTACCGATGAATTGGATTAAAATTCTCGTGTTCCTTACAACAGTATTTTAATGATATTTTTTTAAAGATTTGCTTAGTATTACAAAATAAAAGGCATCACAGAAGTATTTTAATAGTATTTCAGAATATGAATTAAGTATAGAATAAATAGCGCAGTCAGCAGGCCATTTTGAAAATTTTATAATACTAACAAGGATTTTTTGAGGCCGAAAAGAAACGAAACTAAATATGTGTAGTAGAAATAATATATAAATTCTTCAATATCTTTTAAAAGGGTTGACATTAGTCCTTTTCTACACGAATGTAGAAATCCATAAAAATCACTTTATTTCAAAGAATATTAAAGATCCGCCAATGACCAGTGCTTTTTGGCTTGTTTGAAGCATTTCTACCGTCTCTGATTTTTAATAGATTCGAAAGATTCAGGGACCTAAGATAATCCTCCATCCAACAACAGAAAAACTGAATAGTTTGTAAAAGAGTCACTCATTCAAAATATAGAAAGAAAGAAAGAAAGAAAGAAAGAAAGAATGAATGAATGAATGAATGAATGAATGAATGAATGAATGAAAGAATGAATGATTGGATGAATGATTGAATGAATGAAAAGTATACAATGATAAATTAAAAAAATATATCAAAGAATTTGTTGGTGATCGAATTAAAAAATGAAAAAAGAAACGAACGAGTGTTAAGTATAAAATAAAAGTTTTAAATATAACGCCCAAGTGAACGACGATCTAATAAACGAACGAGTTGATGAATGAATAAATGAATGAATGAATGAATATTAGCTTTCACAACAGTGTTTATAAGAAGAAGTATTTTCTTTGTCTACAAACATAATAAGTACTTTTGTGCTTTAAGCAGAAATGACGTGAATTCCGTTGAACAGTTAAAAAAAAGAAATTGTTGAATAAAGAATTGTGTAAGCCCTGAATTAGAACTCTTATAGGAAATCAAATTGACAAGATTCGATGGTGACGTATTATAAAGGAAAACTGGAATTAAAGCCATAGAAGCGTTACAGTAGGAACAAAAAAACCAATTTAAGGTAATTATGCTTATGATGTTATGTTTGAATATATTGTTATCTTTTTTAGAAGTGGGGCGGGACGGGGGCTGGCAGATTGTCCCAGGTCCCGGGCTGATAAATTTTCCTAAAAATCAAGACGAAGGTCATAACGAAGGCAAGGAAAGTAACTATCACAATTTTAATGACGTCATCACGGGTCCTATCTTTCCTTTTGCCTTTGGCCTAAGAAAACCTCTGATTTGATACATGTAGATGGCATCTTCAAAGGAAAAATTGATCGGTTTCGAACAATAAATTCCCAATGGATTAACAATTTTTGCGCCTTCTCAATTAAGAAAAAAAAATAGTTTTATAATACTGAACATTCCCTCTATCTTTCACGTTTGATAAAGTCTTTAACCTTTCTACAACTCATATTTTTATCTTTGCAAAGTTTAAGTCTTTATCAGTAATTTCGGTTTAATTAAGAGCAACTTATCAACGACCTTCGGACCCTCGGAAACAACACCGCGTCATTTTAATTCGACCGCTTATGTTAATCGTTACTTCATTTGGTTGATGACGCAATAACCATCAATGTTAAATATTTTCTGGTGGACTGTTATGAGAGCTGTGGCCCGCTACCATGATATGTAACCACTTTTACCACTGAGGAGATAATTGTCACGTGATATTGGAAGATCAGTTAGCATTAACAGCCACATTAATGCAGTTGATCCGACCAGCTATGGTTTCATTCCTATTGATGAACCATAGAAAGTAACTTATCTTCAACAACGTCTAAAACGAGGGGGCAATTATTAGACACGCTTAAACTTTTTAACTAGAAATGGACACTAAAAATTTCATAGTTTATCCCAACACAGAAAGATTGCAAAAATCTTTAGGAATGATTCTGTATTATAATACCTTTGGACAACATCTTCGAAGCAATATCAACTTTATATTCAATGAAGTAGCAAAAATGGCCTCGTCATCAAGAAGTCGATAAATTGATCACTGCTTTATCTTATAGAAAGTTAAAATGCCGTTTTCGAAAGAATTTAAAGGCTCTGGTAACATATAAATTTTATTGCGTGGTTTAATTATCTGAATATGTGGTGTGAGTATGTAATATTCGCTCTTGTCCTTCAAAGATTACGATCAAGTAGGAATGAATGAAGTTAAAAATTCCGAAGCCTGCTTGAACAAGGCACTATTTTTTAGTGCAAATATGATCCGCATTAGAGCCACGCCCCGGAAGGGACAACGGAGCGAATAGGGATATAAAAACGATCCGGAGTCGATATTTTTTCAATTTCCTATGAAGGGTCGTTTCTAATAGAAAATGATTTTATCCATTCACGGATCATTGCAATCATTTGTGAGTCATTCCACAAGACGTCAAATGGGGTTGTGAAATTTGTCTTCTATAACTTGGTTGTAAAAGAGCCCGTTTGTTAAAAACTTTGCGTTCAACGGCGGAGCTTATAGAAAGGCGGCTCCATTTCATATTTGAAAAGTAGAAATTCTCAACCAAATGTACACTGTATACAAAAAACCAGCTTTCTCTCTGCCCTTTTCGGACACTGATGCTTTTCGGACAGTGGCCATTTATTTACATGCATGTAAAATTTTCTGGAGCCTGCTGCCATTGTAACACAACCCACCCGGCTAAAAGTTTTCAAAACGAAAACCCCCTGCTCATGGTTGGCATTGCTTTAAAGTACAAAATGAGAAGCTCATAAACTTAAATTAGGCTCAATGATACCAAATTCAACGCACACTCAATCACTTCAATGCAGGAACAGGTTGTACAAGCAAGTGCTAACTAACATTTCAGATAACCGAGTGGCTTTTGAGAATGGAACGTTTTTCTATCAATCGACACGCTGGTATTATTCAAACGATTCAGACACTTAAAAACTAATATCATCCACGATTAATTCGTGTCGTATTTATATACTCTACGTCTCACTTAGGTGGCAGGAATATCCCTTCGTCAATGGCCCATTCACAAAATGTTTGCCAAAATTATTCCATACCAGACAAGTTGATTCTTGAATATTTGACATAATTACAATAAATAAGCATAATCAGTCAACCATTGACTGGTTGTTTTAATCAACAGAGGACAAACTCACGTTAGCACTTAAATTGCTTTGGATGACCGGGCCTAACATAACATTGTTAAGCAATATGTTGTAGTTTTCAGATAGCTTAAGGAAAGGAAAGGGTTACGTCTGAACGACAATTTGACGTTACTAAGCATGCGCAGTAATGGAGAAGATAAAATGCTATAAACATGCTACATGACCCTCAACGTCATACTGTATTCCTCGTTTCCTGCTCAGCACATTACTGTATTGTCGAAATATTTCACCCTTGCACCACAATTTCCTTTGAAACTTTGAATATCTAGCTTTTTCAACTTTCTTAGGTTTGAACTTTCTTGATTTTTTTATGAATCAGGCACAACCTTCTTATGAAATATTTTCTTTTAAAAAACGCGTGTACTGTGTTCATGCATATAATTAATACTTTCAAGGGCATACTTTTCTTGCAAAGAAGAGACCGAATAAAATCGCTTTGGTTTGACCCACTGTTGAACGTCCGTGTCCTGAAAGCCTGGCATATGGTGACTGATTGCAGGCAATCGGTCTGTTCAAATGAAAAGCGGATAACTATGATATCAACGGAACGTTAATTCAGGTTCAGCGCTGTTTAATTAAACTAGTAAATCAGGGGTTTATAGGCTTGCTGAATTATTCAGGCTTTGATGAATCCTGATGATTCCCTTTTACGAATTGTCATGATTATTATTATAACTCTAAAGCTTATCGGTTACGATAATCGTGATCATTTGAACGACTTAGTAAACTTTGGTTACATGATAAATGAGAAAAATAATAATAATGTGCACATTCGTGATCTATAGAAAATTATACCTCTAATTTTAAAGATTTTCTATTTGACAGTGATACCAGCACGAAAAATTAACATGTTACAGTGGACTTTGGCTCTGTTGTGGTAGGCAACGCGCAATTTGTTGATATTGATAAGTTTAATCCCAAATAGAAACGGA